TAGGGGATCTTCATTGAGTCATAGGAGATCTTTATTGAGTCATTGGGGTCTTCATTGAGTCATAGGGGATCTTCATTGAGTCATAGGAGATCTTTATTGAGTCATTGGGGTCTTCATTGAGTCATAGCAGTGGTCTTCATTGAGTCATTGGAATCTTCATTGAGTCATAGCGCAGTGTTCATTGAATCATTGGGATTGGTCATCACTGAGTCTTTGGGGATCTTCACTGAGTCATTGGGTGGTCCTCATGAAATTATTGGGGTCTTCACTAAGTTATTGGGAGCCTTCATTGAGTCATTAAGTATTTTCATTGAATCATGGGAGGCGGTATTCATTGAATCATAGCGGTGGTCTTCATTGAGTCATGGAGGATCTTCATTAAGTCATTGGGAGTTTTCATTGAATTATGACGCATCTTCGTTGAGTCATTGGGGAGTCTTCATTGAGTCATACAGCACAGAAGATGCCCTTCAGTCTATTGAGTCTGTGCCCACCCCATCTACTCTCATCCCACTTTCCCACACTTGGCCCATAGTCTCCAATGTTATGACATTTTGAGTGCTCATACCTTTTTAGAAAGGTTGTGAGGTTTCCTACCTCTATGACCCTCCCAGGACTTTTTAAAAATATAACCTCGCAAAATTGGTTGAACAATTTATGACCCCTGGCATGTTGAGATTTGACAAGCCTCCAGGGAGGTGAGATTCCAGGGTCTACACCCAAAAGGAGACTCGGTCCATGCTTGTGTTGGGTGTGTGAAAGTGTCATCATGTCTTTTCCAGCACAGTGCAGTCATAATGGACTCAATGTTAACTGTTTCTCTGTCCGAATATGCTACTAGACCTCCTGAGTTTCTCCAGCCCTGTCCTCGAGAAGAGTCCTCCTAGAATCATTAAAGCATAGAAAATAGGAGCAGGAGCAGGCCATCAGCCCTTTGAGTCTGCTCCACCATTCAGTATGATCATGACTCATCATCGAACTCAGTACTCTCTTTCCCTTTCTCCTCATATCCTTTAATCCCTTAAATCCTAAGAACTATATCTACATCATTCTTGAAAGTCTTCAATGTTTTGTCCTCAATAGTTTCCTGTGTCAGAGAATTCCATGGATTCACCGACCCCAGGTGAAGAAATGTCTCTTCATCTCTGTCCTTAAAGGTCTATCCCATATCTTTAGACTGTGACTCCTAGTTTTGGACTCCCTGGTCATTGAGAATATCCTTCCCCGAAATGTTAACTATATTTCTCTCTCCCACAGATAATGCCAGACCTGCTGAGTTTCTCCAGCATGTTCTGTGTTTGTTTCAAATTTCCAGCATCTGCAGCATTTTGAGGGTCACACTTTGTTGAGGGGGTGTGTTTAACATGGTTGCCCCTTTCAGAAGCTATTGACAGAAAGACTTGTGTTTGTATGACAAGTTTTCATGGCCTCAGGACACACTTTGGCAGTTGACAAAGAACTTTATTCTATGAATGCGGGTTGGTCGCTGTAGCATTGCAGAGGAACATAGCTGCCTAATTGGTGCTAGTTGGATCTTGCTGTTCACAAGTCGATACCCAGGCCAAGATAATCTGACTTTTGGCAATGTTGATTGCGGGATAAATATTGGCCCAGGACACGGGAGGAGAACAAATCCCTTCCCCCACCCTCCCCAGCTCCTGTTAGAAACACGTCTTGTACACCCCAACTGTGGGAAAAATCTCATGGTTAAAATCTCATCTGAAAGGTGAGAGTGCAGCACTCCCTCAGTTCGGTACACGGAGCATTAGCCTGGATTTTGTGCTCAAGTCTCTGGAATCAACTAACACCAGGAATTTTGTAGCTGTGAAAATAAAGAAGGAATTGACTGTACATTCAGACGTGGTGAAAGATACTTTTAACTTTTTGCTCTAACTTTGTGTTAAAGCGTTTCCCTATTCGTCCTATGTTTAGGGGTCCTCTCTGCCCTGAAAACAGTGGCTAATAGGCCAGCCCTCTGGTATCCACCTCAAACACGATGTGCAAGCCAAGAATGTGAATGATACCAAGCTATTCGACTATGGGAACATTACAGTCAGCGCCAAATCCTGTCTTGACAATGATCTTCAAACTTGCCAGCGAGGAGTTAGAGAAAGAAGTGGGTGGGTAACTGGGTAGATACTTTGTGACAGGGATCCAGGCTGACATTTTTTTAACTTTCTCCATCTTTCCCCTAGGGATTCAGAGTCCCAATTATAGCAAAATCATCCTCTCTTATTGTGCACAGTTCTAACGGCAGCTGACTAGGTAGACTTAGAACCGTCTCTCGTATTTCAATTGTTAAAGCCAGTGCTTCAAGTTTTGTTCATTTATGTTGTGCATTTGAGCTATATCATGTTTTTGCATGGGGATATGGGCATTGCTTCCTGGGCCAGCGTTAATTACCCCATCCCTAACTGCCCTTGAGACTGTGGTGGTGACCTGCCTTCTTGAATGGTTGTTTGGTCTTCCAAACCCATAAACATATCATCAAGAAGGACAAACGCAACAGATGTGGGAACACTACCACTTGAAAGTTCCCCTCTAAGTCACAAATCACCCTGACTTGGAAATATACCACTCTTAGGGAGAGAGAGTTATAGAGGTTTACAGCTTGGAAACAGGCCCTTCGGCCCAACCTGTCCATGCTGCCCAGTTTTCACAATTAAACTAGTCCCACTTGCCTGCATTTTGTGCATATTCCTCCATACCTATCCTATCCATATACCTGTCCGAATGTTTCTTATATGATGAAATTGCACTTGCCTCTATGACTACCTCTGGCAAACTGTTCCAGACACGAACCACCCTCTGTGTGAAAATATTGCCCCTCTGGACCCTTTTGTATTTCTCCCCTCTCACCTTATGCCCTCTAGTTTTAGACTCCCCTACCATCTATGTATCTCATGATTTTCTAAACCTCTATAAGGTCATCCCTCAGTCTCCTGAGCTCCAGGGGAAGTAGCCCCAGCCTATCCGACCTTTCCTTATAACAAACCTTCCAGTCCAGGTAGCATCCTAGTAAATCTTTTCTGCACTCTTTCTAGTTTAATAATATGCTTTCTGTAGTAAGATGACCAGAAATGCATGCGGTACTCCAAATGTGGCCTTACCAATGTCTTGTACAGCTGTAACAAGACATCCCAATTCCTGTACACAATGCTCTGATCAATGAAATTAAGTTTGCTGAGAGCCTTCTTCACTGCCTTGTCTACCAGTCGTGACTCCAGCTTCAAGGAGGTATGAACCTGTACCCTAGATCCCTTTGTTCTATAACATTCTCCAGGGCCCTACCATTGACTAGAGTTCTGGGATTTTGATCCCATGACACTCAAAGAATAGTAACATATTTTAAGGTCAAGATGGTTTGGAGCGGAACTTGCAGACGGCGGCATTCCCGTGCATAGAACAGTACAGCGCAGTACAGGCCCTTCGGCCCATGATGTTGTCCTATTATCCTACGAAGATCAAACTATCCTGCATACCCCACATTTTACTATCCTCCATGTGCCTATCCAAGAGTCGCTTAAAAGTCTCTAAAGTATCTGACTCCACTACCACTGCTGGCAGCGCATTCCACTCACCCACCACTCTCTGTGTAAAGAACCTACCTCTGACATCTCCCCTATACCTTCCTCCAATCACCTTAAAATTATGCCACCTCGTAATCGTAATTTCTGCCTGGGAAAAAGTCTCTGACTATCCAGTCTATCTATGCCTCTCATCATTTGTAAACCTCAATCAAGTCACCTCTCATCCTTCTTCGCTCCAATGAAAAAAGCCCTAGTTCCCTCAGCCTTTCCTCATAAGACCTGCCCTGCAGTCCAGGCAGCATCCTGGTAAATCTCCTCTACACCGTCTCTAAAGCTTCCACATCTTTCCCATAATGAGGTGACCAGAACTGAACACAATATTCCAAGTGTGGTCTAACCAGAGTTTTATAGAGCTGCAGCATAACCTCACGGCTCTTAAACTCAGTTCTGCTAGATTTGTCCTTCTAGATGGTAATGATCATGTGTTTGGAAGGTGTTGTCGAAGGAGCATTGGTGAATTTCTGCTGCACATTTTGTAGATGCCACACATTTTTGCCACCATGCTTCTGGTGCGAAAGGAATGAATTTAAGCTAATGGCAAATTAGTGATTCTATTTTTGCTTTTGCCAGGGAGTCTGGTGACAATATCTGCTCATTTAACAATAAATAAATCTTGTGCACTAAATAGATTTTCATATCGGGCTTTGAAACACTCTTTCGACTTCTGCTGTTGATGGCTTACTGACGTGCCACTTTTGAGAGGTCACGGATTTGAAGCAGAACACGCATTTATTTGTCCCAGCCTGATTAAATGCCTTTGGACACTGGTGAAAGGGATGAACATTGCTATACAAACAGGCTGGCAGATGTTCTACCACACTCAGTAACAAACGGCTCTGCCTTAACCCTTAATTTACCTGCAGTCCCCAAATCTCAAAGTCCTTCGAAAGATAAACGACTGCTTGAAGCCCCAGTCAGATGCAGCATGTGTTCATGCATGAAGTAGATAGCTATATTTTAACAGTTACATTTCTGAAGAATAGGAATTAATTGTAAGTGTGTTTTAATGTTAAGATGAACGAAAACAAAAACAGAAATTGCTGGAAAATCTCAGCAGCTCTGGCAGCATCTGTGGAGACAAATCAGAGTTAACATTTTGGGTCCAGTAACCCTTCTTCAGAACTGATGGTAGCGAGGAAAAGAATGTTTTTTACACGGAAGATAGAAACGCAGGGAGGAGTAAACGATTGGAGGAGATACAGCCCAAAGAGAGAGAAAGCATAGCAGCTCACAATGCGGTCTCCCCTACATTGGGGAAACGAAGCGTAGACCGGGTGGTCGCTTCGCAGAACACCTATGTTCTATCTGCAAAAAAGACACTGAGCT